TAGAAAAAAAAAATTGTTCAATCCCACCCAACAACCAACTTGTCGAACTCAACGATGTTGTTGTTGTTGGCATCCTGGACGAGGGTGTGGATCTAATTTCCGACTTGAGGTTGATGGAGCGGAAGAGGACAAATAGCTCGAGATGGGTGAGGTTACTTGATATATCACCCATAATAGCTTGGTGGACGTTAAAAAGTGATTAGCTCGTGTTAACTGCTCTAGGATAGCTTGTATCTAGGTACTATGGTTTGACTCCGTCAAGGAGCTCAACATGACAAATCGAAGAACGTGTTGGTTCTGGTTGCAAGCGAGCGAGTTGGGCTCATTTGGGAGCTCGGCCAAAGGGGGCAGTTACGACCTGTAGGTAATATAAAAGACCTAGTAAAGAGTATGGCAACAAAGTTGTAAGGTCGGTGGGATGACCTAAGGACCTGCTGAGTCATGGTAAAGGAGAAGACTATGTTATATTAGCATGGTAAGCATATCTTGCTAAAAAGTGGAGAATCTCAAAAGACTTGTCATACTAGGAAATGAGATACAAATAGATCTCATTTCTAGTAATGAGTTTACATGGGAAAAAAGACAATCTCCTTATAGAAGGAGGTTATAAGTTCTTTTAAATTAACGTGCACTTTATGCTTTACATCCAAGTTTCAGTTCACGAGCGAGGTCTAACTTTGGTGTCGGAGGTTTCTCTATCGAGACCCCTTCAGCAGTGTTTACAGGTCATCAGAGCTCAGGGTGAAGGATGGTTTGTGTTGTTACTGGTCCAAGCCCAGTACAAAGACAATTTGCACATCAAATTGGCGTTTGTGGAAAAATCTAGTTTTTACTGGATGATGGGAGCCTGATTTTCTCATAACTTTTGTAGATAACCAGATCATGGTCAGAGATAGTTCAAGTAAAAACTTGGGAAAGGACATGGAGAAAGCTTGGATTTCGCAAGCCCTTTTGGGAACAAGACCATCGCCCGGATAGTCGAAGGACACCAGTGCCCAGGTTACACTAAAGGTGAGTCTGTCAGGTCCGCATATAGCAATTCGAAAGTGGTGAACCATGTGGCACGATCTGCCATCCAACAATACCACTAATCCCTTTTCAAGAGACGTCGAGGGAGGAAAACCAAGAGAGACAAATCGTCATTCAGGTTATGGGCTCTATCGAGAGAATTGAGGAGCGACAAGTCGAGGAGCTAAGGAATGTTCGACCTCAAGAACAAGATGAAGGTCATAAAAGGAACTCGAACGGATAGTAGGTCCACAAGGGGGACCAAATCGTCCAACTCATAAGGAAAGAGTTTGTCAGGTTTGTAGTTGAGGTGGTGGCTCGAGCTTGCGCACCGGTCTAAGCTAATCCTAAGCTTACGCACCGGTCTAAGCTAATCCTATTGAGCAGAAGTTACAAGCCAATAGAAGAGGCGAAGACGGGGAGGCCAGGTCTACGACCTCTCCAAGTGCGACATCGTTACTTATCAGCGACGCTACACTAGAGAGGATGATAGCCCAATTGCGCGAGCTACAGAAGAGAGTATAAGGCATGATGACCCCCATAATTTATGGGCACCCCTTCCTTGAGGAGGTGTTGGAGGTCGACATGCCATTCAGTTTCTGCGAGTTGAATCTAGCATATGATGGGCTAGCTGATCCAGCTAGACACTTAAGAAGCTTAGAGAACATAGCAATGTTGCATCATGATAGTTATGTGGTGTCTTGTCGAGAATTCTTGACCACCTTGAAGGGGTCGACACAAGAATGCTTTCACCAGATGTAGGATAGTTTGATCTATAGGTTCGAGATGTTCAACTCACGATAAGACATACTTAACATTGATCAACATCTTGCAATAATAGGGAAAAAATCTTCGAGAATATGTAGCTCGTAACACCAAGTAGTGTCTTGAGGTGCCCTTAGCATTAGAAAGAGGTGGGTTGTAACTAGGGGTCTCCGACTAGGAACATGTCAGAACTCTTTGGTTGAGATGTAACGCTCCGTTATTTTTATAAGGAAAAATCTTGAGTTTTTATAAATAAGAGATAACTTTTCAAAATTCATTTATCGCTTTGAAAATATTTTAGCGGGACTTACTCATATCATCCATACATATCATTCATCTTAGCATCATCATTGGTCGTTGAGAACTCATTGCCCAATATCATAAATCACATAGGGACATAATTCACAATTAATATCATAATCATCATCAATCAATAGTAGGTTCAAACTTTGTTCAAAACTAGTCAATATCCAAAACATCATTTTGAATATAAATCATAATTTCAAAAATATTGAAGTTTAAGCGGAAGCAACATCAATGTAAACAAATAAATAACCCCACTCATTTCGTCCTTTGCCACGCAACCAACTCAACCTGAAAAGATGATAATAATGGGGGAGAGCAAACCACTAGGTCACTATAGGAATCACCATACA